AATTTTGAAATCGCATTCTTTTGTAATTTCTTTTGTATTCATAATGAATTAAATTTTCTCATCTAATGATTCTCTGATTAGACTGAAAAACCTATTTATTAAAACAGCATAATCCATTTATATTGCTTTGCATGACTAGACAAAATTGTAAAATATTTTATACATATACAATGTAAATATTTCAATATACATTTTGATAAGTAAAGACGAATGCCATCTTTTTCAGATAAGGAATCTTATGCATCTACTTAGTTTAACATTAAATAAAGAATTTCTATAAACACAAAGTTAACAAATTGTGTTAAAGGATACTGAAGAAATGAAATATAACAATAGTTATTAAAAAATTAAAGAAACAGCAATAAATTTTTATTGTGTAAATACTACAAAAGGAAAATTTCATGACACTGCTAAAAATTTCCTTAAAGGGGAATTGTACTGAAATTGCAAAGATATAAAAGCTTTAAAATTTAAGGCTGAAAAATGAATCACTAAAACAGTTCTTGCAAAAGTTTAATTATTACAAAATAATGGGACAGAAGATAACAAATGGGGATCACATTAGTTCAAATTCCAGAGGTGGATGAAACTGTAATTCATGTATGTATCAGCAGCATGTATCAATCCAACACATTCTTAAAGATTTGTACAAGATATTAGGAGATAGTGTCCTAGCTTATCCCCCAACTGACAAATATGCAACCTGTAAAAATTTCTTATGAATATTTAATCCACTGCTCAATCCATTAACATCAATCAGAGGAAGTGACTTTCAAATAGAACAAAACTTTAATTCTAACTAGAACATTATCAGGCATATAGCATGCCTAAAAGTGCTGAGAAAAATAATTTTCTAAAGGAGTAATTATATTACGAATTAAGAAAATATTAGGTTTATTTAGCTTTTATACCGAATTTTATACTCAATTCCTTCTACAAGCCTTTTGGTTATATCCCTCATTAATATGCTGAAATCTTTAAATAAACCTAAGCTAAGCAAATAATCTTGAGAATCATATTGACATATACAGAAGTTATTTATTAAAATAATATATAGACACATATACAGAAGAATATAAAAGTAAAATACAGAAAAGAGAAAAATAAAATTGGATATGTTCAAGATCAACAAATAAAGAATCCATCTCAATAGACATTCTGCTTAATTTACGCACCTTTCAAACTACAGTCATGCCCCCATGTCTGATGATTTGGCATCAGCAATAGTTACCATTAGTTTACCCTATTCTAAAAAATCTGATGTGTACACCACATGACTTCCTTGTACGGAATATTAAATTATACAGATTTTTTCTTTCATTTCATTTAAACTTATTGATTGAATTAAATCTCTTCGCCGACAGCGCATAAACCACATAGAATAAATGCATCTTAAAATTCACTCTAGTATTTGTTTACCATAGCGACACTCTGGCGCTAGATTCAATAAATATATACAGTTAATTATATAATAATTATATAACGGAAACTAAGTTAACTGTTATATAATCCAAAATATAACAGTTAATTATATATTCGTTCATATTATAACTCATAATGCACAAAATTTATATCATTTAAAGAACAGAATTATCCACATTATCACATGTTCTATTAAATACTATAATAACGCTAGAAGATATAAAAGAAATTAAGCAAACAAAAAAAAAGAAACATTTTCACGACGATTGGTATTTCTCATTAATTAATTCTTCTCACTCCGCGGAACAAAAATAATAAAACTCAAATATCTATATTAAAATTACGAATAAATCTTAAACACTTATTTCTCAAAAAAATTCCAGAAAGATTAAGCATGATTTAATTCGCAATAATAAATGAATACGTTATCTTTGTTGTTGCGAAGCTAAGTTTCTCTAGATTGGCAACAAATCCACTAGTCCCCTGTTTCAAATGTAAACATCAATGGCCGCCAAAAAAAAGGCTTAGCCCCTACAACTTTAAAATTGTTGATAATTCTAAAAATATTGCATATAGATTTACTAAGGCATAAACCTTAACCGGAAGATAAAAACAAACATAATTCAATTTTTAAAGCAAAAAATGTACAATTTACAAACATATAGAGTAAGAAACTGAGATCACGAGCGATAACAGAGTGGATATATATATAAATATATTTATATATTTATAAGTTTGGTGCGGCCGATTGCAACCAAAATACGAGGTGCACATCTACATGTTATAGCAGTCCATATACAAAATTTCACGTTCTGAGGCTACTCGTTTTTGAGTTAGGCGAGATACGTACGTACGTACTCGCATAACTCAAAAACGAGCACTGTATGAACGTCTGACGTTCGTACATGTGTCTGTACGTCGTACGACGTATGTACGACTTGCGTAGTAATACGTTCGTACAGACGCCACGAAAAATTCTCTCAGAATTAATTTTAAAAAGCAGTGTTATAATTTTTTTGAAGGAAAAGTATTTTATTCTGTCCTTACTACATATATCCCGAAAACAAGTAAATCACATTCGATAGCAGTCAAATGGCTATTTTCGTTGAATATGCTGCCGAAACTTTCGCTATTACAATACTTCCTTTTTACTTTGTACAAGGAAGTAAAAAAGTTCAGAAATTAAAAAATAAAATAAAATAAAACATATTAATGAGTTCAAAATTAATGGCAAACCAGAAGGTTTGTGATATAGTGAAATGCAGTAACTTAAATGTATCCATATTATCTTGCCATGGAAATGTTGACTCTGCACAAATACAGAGGATAATTTGGATTATTGTTTCAGTGGTTATGCAATGCTTTGAATGAAATGCATATTATGACAGTTTTTTCCACTAGTTTGCTCTATCTCAAAAATTGGGCACAATCCTTTACATTTATATGTAAGAAGAAACAGCTTGTTGGCATGGTGGTATGAAAGCTGGCTGCAATAGTCTTCAGTCCCAGAGAAGGCATGATGTTTAAAGTGCATAGTGTCTTTGTGACATGGGGCATTTAAAATACCATTAAGCCAAAAATCCACTTGAGAGGCTAGTCATAAAGGGAGAGGGGTGAAAGAACTTGGATTCTTGTCAAAGGAATTCTTCTTCAAAATTGGGATAGAAATTTATCTTTGCCTCCCCCCTGGGTAATCTTCTCAATGATGAGATGGATAAATGACCAATGGGTTTTAGGCATTTGCAATTACTATATTAAGTGTCTGCCCATTTGGAACAACAACATATTTAAGAAGGGAGGACAAAGTGCAGTGTAAAAACAGTGTAACTTCATTATTGACAACCTCGGACTATAACTAACATTTCTGAAAACATAATTAAATAATAGTATTAAACATCATCAACACTCTGATTGTTAAAATGACCATTGTACAGAAAACAAAAATTATCTAAAACCACGACTTAAAGGAAGTTTCTCTGTATAAACAAACAGTTTCATTATATATACTGCAGTACACAGTTTCATTGTATATACTGCAGTACACTGTACATTTTATCCCTATTTTATTGAACATTAATTATGAAGTATCACTATGTGTTATTTATGAATTAAGGTTAACCTACTCACATTTCTTACACAAGTATTGTATTATTTAGTATTTACTGTTATCCAGACAATCCTTGAAACATACTACCTGACGACACAGGGGAATACTGTAACAATGGTAAAGTTTAAAGGAGTTTTATAATCCATTAATAATAAAATATTCAGTAACACAAAATACCCTGTTAAAAGCGCAAGGGGTGGAATTTTCCTGCATATTATTTTAAGAAATTTAATAATTCAGAAAGCTGGATTTAACAAAGTTTTTAGTATATCAGCAAGTTAATTTAGCATCTATAATACTTTTAAAAGTGTTTATCATATAAATATGAGAAAAACACACTTTTCTAATCTATGCATTAAAAATTCCCAACATTTGCGTTATAGTTCTAAAAAATCTTATGCTTAATTAGACATTTTACAGAAATATCTTTGAAAATTTAATTTTAAGTTATCATCTATGAAAAAGCAAAACACTATCACAGTGATATATATACATAATACAAATATTTAAAAAAATCAATCATGTCTAGAAATATTATATCTATATTCATTCATTCACCATTAAAAAATTCACAAAAGTCTTAAAATATCACAATGTTAATTATAAAAAAATTATTACTGAAAAAAGAGGGCAGCCACAAAAATTAGAAAAATTAAGATTTCGATAAATATATATCAAAGTCTTATCTGGACTCATTGGGATTCAGGATCGATTATCAGTTTTTCGATTATAGATCATAATTATAGATTTCGGATCATATTCCGGATTATAGTCATTATCGGTAAATGCATAGATAATTATAAAATAAAAAATATGAAACTGTAATTTATGAAAAAGAAGCAATTTGCTCTAAGGGTATCAAAATTTAAAAAAAAAGTTAATATTTATTTGTTTACTTATTAAACATTTCTTCAATGCGCACATGCGTAAAGATACATTACGCATTTTGAATTAGAAATCCACCAGAAACATTTGAGTGTATTCGTGAATTTTATAATGACGAGGAATTTGATTTAAATCATATCGAAGACGAAGTACATTGAAATGAAATACTGCAATTAGTAAGGAATTATAAGCCAAACAAAATAAAAAGATATTCCCTGAAGATAAGGATAGAGCTGACAAATCACCTTCCAGTTTATTGCGCGCCGCGACGTTCTCCCCCACCCCCGCAGAGCAGCGTGAAATTGATACACAGATTTTGGAATGGTTAGAAAAACAAAGAATATGCCTTTATCTATTTTTTGTAGCAATTCCACTTTCGTTTGATGAACATTGAAACATGCTTTTGCTTTGTAGATCCTTTGCCCAGAATCGAAATTCTTTTTGCATAATTGAAAGGCAAGCTTATTTATAAATTGCTCTAACAGTCTGCAAAATATAAGCTGGATCCAATCCAAGAGTACGACAGTGCAATCTCCAACTTAACTGAAATATTAATTGTATTTTAGCTTATTACCGTTAGATATTAAACGCGCATTTGAAAGATTATGCACATGCATAAACACATATGCACATGCGCAGAAAGTTTGTAGCTTTGAGGTCTGGATTATAGATCATTCCGGATTAAAGACTTTTGACTGTACTTCAGTAAAGTAAATGCATCACTCACTATTTTTCTTTTAATTTTAAGCTTTATATTAAAATGATTTGCATACATTCTTCATATATAAATCAGGATATTTACAAAAATATGATTATAAATTTATTATAACTGAGTAATTCACATATTTATAATACATGCTGATACTACTTCATTTCTTTCATTGAGAAAAAATATATTTGAATCTTTTTATTTTCCTTAATTAAAGCTTTATTAAACACTATGCAAAAGTATACAACATATCCTTTAGCACAGTTAATAGTAAAGAATCACATCTTTATTGAACACTTTCATTATTTGCCCAAATTCAATGCTACCAAAATTTCCTGAAAAAATTATGCTTTATTGCGATTAAAATTATACATTAAAATTTAGTTAAAATTAATAAGGTAAACTGGTAAAAAACTTGTTCTAACATCACATTAGAACATATATTTTAAATATGATGATTTATTTATATTAAACTCTTCATGAATTGCAAAATTAACATATTTGTTCAGCAATGTTACCACTGTTTTTTAAATGCCTTTAGTGAAAACAAAATTATAACACAATTCAGTTGTTACTCTTACTTCTACTAATATGGAATTATTTATTTCAGTTAACGATAACATAAGAAATATTGTTATGCCTCAACATTTTGACAAATACTGTACTAATCATTTGACTTTCAAACCTAACAGATACTAGCCAGCAAACTAAGTAACACATTCATGATTTAAAAAATCTCATTTCTAGTCATGAAGACAATTTGTTTTATTCAACAATAGATACAAAGCAAACTTTACATAACATAAAAAGTTTAATCTAAAAGTTATTTACTTACATACATTATAAAATTCTGCTTTACAATTGACTTAAAAATTTTTTTTTTAAAACAGGCTTTATAATTGCAATTTAGATTAAATCTTTAAGAAATTTGTTTTATTTTGTTTCAAAATGAAATGGTCGATAATGTTTTTATGAACAGAAACAATTCTGATCCAGAATTACTTTCTCTTTAAATCTGACATTCAGCATAAATAGATAATCACCAGAAAATGGTGAATTTTATAGAACAAAAATTATGTTATTATATTAAATAAGCCCAAACTGGGGAAAGGGAGTGCAAATAAAAACCTAACTGGATTGCCTTTAAAACATTATATTATCCGATAATATCTATAGAATTCAGGCAAATAAAACTGATATGTTCATGTAATTGGCCCAAAAATTTAGGAAATGCTTCGGTATATATACAAATAATACAACTTATACTTTTAATGTACCTGCTAAATAACAGTATAAATAGTCTTTTCATTTTTATGAATAAAAAAATATTTATCGAGTTTCAAGAAGGCAGTAATTTAATTATATCATTCTCACTATGCATTGTAACACTGTGAGTAAAACTGGATGTCTGCATTTTGAACGAAAAGTATAAAATTATAAATCTTAAAAAGTCAGCTCAGAAAGAACATGACAGCATATTGGTAGTCATTCAAAACAATACCCAAAACCCAAAAATGAAAGCACTTCCATTTCACAACTTCATGCAAAAGTCCCTGATACCACTAAGGAACTTCAAAATAAAATACAAAATAATTAAAAGTTATAAAAAAGAATGAAATAAATAGAGAGTAAAAATAATCTTAATCTAAGACTTAGATTTAGCTGCAACCATGATGTAATGCAAAGATCCACCTTTACAAGTATATTCGATCTTTGCATATAAAAATAAATAATAGATTAAAAAAAATTGAGTATTTCCTCCTACTTGAGAACTACTCCTCCTAAAAAGTTGAGATGATAAACATTTGAGCAATAATGAATATTCAAGAAAAATGCTATTCAGAATGAACAGCTGAACACTTCAGGATAAAAAGGCAATTTCTTGGTTTCCAAGTTAAACAACTGTTCCATTATTAGTTTCACTACCAGGATCACATGGTGTAGAAGGCAAAGGTGAGGTACATGAAGTAGAGTTTACTTGTTCTTCATCTTCTTCTTCCATCACAGATAGTCTTCTGCGTTCTTCTGATTTTGATGAGTCTCTTTTTCCATGCTTTTTCTTTTTACTACAAAAAAAAAAAAAAAAAAAAAAAAAAAAAAAAAATAAGTATTTAATAACTGATTTTTTGTAATATACATTCATTCTGTACACTTAGTTTTAAATAACTACCAAAACATTATCTAGCATGCAAATGCATACACTAACATGCATGTTTAAATCCCTGCAAATAAAGCAGTAGATGAAAGAAAGAATGACATACTAATGGCATTTTGAAAGGAATTCAACACAAGACATTGCATAGAAATGATTAAACTTGCATGGGAGCAAGCAAATTCGTCAAAAAGGAATGCTTTCTGGCATCAACACTGGCCAGAAGTTGGCAATAAATTTATAGCATTTTCATGAATGAAAATGAAGCGAAGGGAATCATACAAATTACAGATACATACAAAGATTTTTAGATATGGAAGAAGGAAAAATGAAATAATTAGACAAGAATGAAGATCATAAAATAACAGATGAAAAACTGGATATTTTATAACACCAGTCAATAGTGAAAGCAGCAACAATGAAGAAGTTAATAGCCTTTAACATACCAGAAGTTACATGAATTGTGAAAAAAGGCACAGGAACTAACTGATTTTGTAATGGAAATTGACCAAATAAAGAAAGAAGAGGACACTTTATGAGAAATATTGAAAAACTTTGCTCTCCTTTCCATGAAAGAGTTGTGTCAGACACTGGCCCAAGTAAAAATCACCAGCTACTTAAAAAAATAATTCTATCATGTACCTACATATGAAGCAGTAATAGAAGTTATTTCAATTAACATTTGCTTCATTCCCTTTTAAGTAGTATAATAACATTCAGGTTTCTATAAGTTATATATACTTTCTTAATTTGAACTATACCTAACTCATTTTTTCCACAGAAAGTTAACTTTGCAAAACACAATTTTTTCGTATGCACAATATGTTAATGACGTAACCCTCACTGTTTGGGTCTCGTCCCAAATAACACACACTAAATAAATTCGCTGGTTCGATTCTTTATTAATTCTCATAATTAATTACAATTAACTCACAGCTGTGACCAGCCCTCTTATACACCGTCGATGGCGATTCTCAAACTCGTCTGATCATCACATTACAGATGCGCATGCGTGGATTACATTACAGATGCGCAGGCGCGAACATGCCGCCCCGCGTTGCAATGCTTAGCATTCAACTATTGTAATTAAGATATAGCATAAAAAATTAAACAAGTATATCATAAACAATTTTGAATAAGTACTATTACATAAAAATCATTATTATAATTAGACATTTACCATATACATTAGCGTACAACTCAAAGCAATACAATATAACATTTCAGTTACATAATGACATTTTATGTGAAGCACATTCAATACTGTACAATAACTATAAAGACAATACTCATTTTTGTATTGGTAAGACACATAATTTGGTAATTGGTCGTTTGAAAGTTCCAGTTTGAGTTTTTACATTACACACGCGAACCTTTCCATCTTTACCATAAAATACTTCTATTATACGACCACCAACCGCCCAATTACAACAAGGCAAATTATCTTTAATTAAGACCATGTCTCCAACTTGTATATTGTTTTTAGAACTTTGCCATTTAGATCGATTTTGTAAATGACTTAAATAATTGGAGTTCCATTTTTTCCAGATAATTTGTACTAATTTTGTGATCTGTTGCCACAATTTTAACCTGTTAATGTTAACTTCCGTGATATCTGGCTCAGGGATCGAATTAATTGCTCTACCAATTAAAAAATGCCCAGGTGTTAGAACCTCTAAATCATCAATGTCCGAAGACAAGGGTGTCAATGGTCGGGAATTTAAAATTCCTTCAATCTGAATCATAATTGTTAAAAATTGTTCAAATGTCAATTTTGCATTACCTACGACACGTTTGAAGTGGTACTTAAAAGATTTAACTCCAGCCTCCCAAAGGCCTCCAAAATTAGGTGCTCTGGGAGGGAGAAATTTCCATTCGATATTCTCAGAACTCAAATAACCAGCTAAAAGCTCATCTTGTTCGTTCACTAGTTTGTTTAACCTCTTTAATTCTGCATTTGCACCTACAAAATTCGTAGCGTTATCACTAAATAGTGTTAAACTTTTACCTCTTCGTGCAAAGAAACGTTTCAAGGTAGCTATTAATGCTTCAGATGTTAGGTCTGTTATCAGCTCTAAATGAATGGCCTTAGTAACCATACAAATGAATATACACACATAAACTTTTTGATATATACCTTTTCTCTGGTTTTTTTGTACTTAATTAAGAATGGGCCACAGAGGTCAACTCCAGTACAATTGAATGTAAGATTAGCTGTGATTCTTTCCTTGGGTAAATCACCCATGATTTGCTGAGCTACAATGGGATTAGCTTTAAAACATATTATACAATTTTTTACAATTTTTCTACAAACATTTCTAATATAAATAACATCTAGGGTTACTTACAATGTTGTTAATTAGACTGAACAAGATTTTTTAAGATAGTGAAGAATTCTTTCCATTCTTTTAGCCTCCTTTTCTGGCAGAACATCATTCCTGCAGTAATTCAATTTTAACAGCCATTGACTTATTTCTGCATAAATATTTTTGCTATCAATTATAACTGGGGAAATTATACCCAATGGGTCAAAGATGCGAAGATATGACGGAATAACACTTGCCGTTTCGTAACCTTTACGTTGTCTGTCTTCTGAATTTTAACGTTGAAGCTCAAACAATCTCTTTTTGACTTCCATAAAATACCTCAATGCTTTAGATTCTTCTGATTTACCAAAGGGATATGTTTTGTCGTTTGTTTGACACAGTTCAGTAGCATTACTACACCACTTATGGAGTAACATACCTCCACTCTTCAAAATGCCTATTAACTGATTTTGAAGTTCTAACGCAGAACTTAGCGACTCAGCTCCAGATAGAATATCGTCCATGTACATGTCTTCTCTCAGTACAGGTGCTGCTAAAGGAAATTTATCTCCTTCGTCCTTTGACAGCTGTACAAGTGTTCTCATTGCTAAAAATGGTGCACTCACAGTTCCATAGGTAACGGTGGTTAGCTCAAAGTTTTTAACTGGCTTATCAATGCCTTCTTTCCATAAAATCCTTTGCAACTTCCACTGATCTGGATGGATAGAAATAGCTCGATACATCTTTTGTATATCAGCAGTGAAAGCAAAAATATATTTCCTGAATCTCAGCATAATTGAGAATAAATCATCTTGTATCACACCTCCATTATACTGTATAGAATTTTCTGTAGAGAATTTAGAGTTTCCTTTGTTGTTTGTTGTCAAAGAAGAAGCGTTAAATACTACCCTCAAGGGAGTCGACTTACTTTTCTCTTCTCCCCTATATACTCCAATATGAGGAATGTAATATGAACCTCGTTCCTCCTCGCTTTCACTCACCTCAACCATATGTCCTAACTGTTGATATTCTTTTAAAAAATCTGAATATAATTTTAAATATTCGGGATTCTTTACTAAGCGTTTCCATAAGGAATTTAATTTACTCGTTGCAATTTGTTTAGAACTTCCTAAAGTGTCCGGATCCTCCTTTAATGGCATTTTAACAACGTACCTACCGGTTTTATCTCGTGTATAATTTTCTACGAAATGTTTCTCACAAATTAAAAATTCTTTGTTTTTGGGTTTATCAGTTTCAATATTTTCTAATTCCCAAAATTTTCTAAGAGTTTTATCTAAGTTGTCTTCTTCCTTTATCAACCCACAATGAACCCTGTTTTCAGTCTCTGTTGGAATACTTCCAGACACGATAAAACCAAAAACTGTATCTTGAAAAATAAGATCAGGATTATTCATTCGAATTTGACTCGGTTTCAAAAGTTCATAAAAAACTCCCGCTCCCAACAACATATCTACCCTTTCTGGAACATTAAATCCTTCATCTGCTAATTTTAAATTAGGAAGATCTTGCACTGAAATTTTAATTTTGCGCGAAGGTGTTAAATCAGCAGTTATTTTTGGAATTACTAAAAAGTCCAAATTCTTTATAAAAGTTCCTTCTTTATTGCATATCGAAGCATTAATTTTATGCTTTATTGTTAAAGTAGCATCATTTATTCCCGAAACGGAAATGTTTGTTTTTTCTTTCTCTAACTGCAAATGCTCAATAAGATTCCGTGTCAAAAAGTTCGACATACTGCCCCCGTCCAGCAGACACTTCACTCTGTGTTTTTTTTTCCTCGTTATCAATTAGAAAACATACGACTGTTGAAAGCAGAACTGTACTCTGTTTATTCGAATAATTGCTAATAAATGCCTTTTGAACGAACTCCTGCGCATTAACATTCAAGGTCGATGAGTCATCTCGTTTGGGAATGTTGCAGTCAGATACATTTGTTTTGTTTTTATTTTGTTCCGATGAAGAACATTCTTTCTCCTTTACGATATTATTTGCTTTCGGAAAGTGAATAGTTTTGTGGTGCCGTTTTTGACAAAAACAAGAATATTTCGATGGGCAATTTGATACTGAATGCATATGTAGACAGTTAAAACATAATTTATTAGATTTCACAACCTGTACTCTTTCTTGTACCGGTAATTTTAAATACGATGGGCATTTTGCCAATCCGTGATTCTCGTGGCATAAAATACAGTTCTCTGTTTTAACATCTGATAAAAACACTTTAGCTACACTTTTTGAGCTATTATACTTACGATTAACATGAGAATTCTCAGTAAGAGGTTTTCCTCGTGACGTGAAATATAAATCTATTTCTTTACCTAACTCACTAGGTGAAAACCATGAATCACCTTGCCTCACAGCAATGTGAGAAGCTGTTCCCGTATCTAAAGATTGGTATAACCTATCTGAAACTATTAGTTGTTTGAGGGTCTCGAAGTCAGTTACCTTCCTTAATTTTAAATAATAATCCCAAGTAGTTACTAAGCGAGAAGCAAACTGCACATGAGTTTCATGTGGTTGTTTAACAGTTTTTCTAAAGTTTTCTAAACACGAATATGGTGTTGGCTGAAACTCCTTCAGAACTACT